TACTTAGCGGCGTTTCGCAAGGCTCTGTCCTAGGTCCGCTGCTTTTTTCTGTCTACGTGAATGACTTGCCGAGGGAGCTTGAGGTCCCATCGCTCTTATTTGCTGATGACCTAAAGCTATGGAATATGGTTGATATCCCTGGTGGTTCTGTGGCTCTTCAACGGGCTCTGGGAATGGTCTGTCTTGTGGTTGCTGCCCATAAACCGGGCAGTGTTTGCTGCTGCGTATCGGAGCGTCTGCTTCCTCCACAAGTTATGTGCTCGATGGGAGTGAACTTTCTCACGTGACTCATCAGGTTGATCTAGGTGTCGTCCACTGTTCCACACTACACTCTGGCGACAACTGGAAGAAGGCGGCTAGTAAAGGGTTCCGGATGTTGTGGGGATGCAATCAATGCACTATCGAAGGATTAGAGAGGACCTAATCCTAACCCACCGTATTTTGACTGGGAAGGTTGGCCCTGATTTGTCCATGCTATTTAGTCCTGCTAGATTATCTGGTCTTCGCGGGCATTTTATGAAGCTGGACAAACCGCGGTCCGATCGAATTAGAACGGAGACACGGTTATCGCGCCGAGTCATCGAGCGCTGGAACCTGCTTCCGGAACATGTTGTCAAGGAAGCTACGGTTAAGGGGTTTGAGCGTCAACTAGACGCTCTTGGGTGGAAACACGAAACCTCTCCTTTTTCCTGACTAATTCCCATCTTCATACTTCGATTCTATTTTCTTTGCTTTTCCTCGCCATTGTTATTATTCTCTTCTTTTAACTGATTTCCCCTACTCTCTTACCTTCGCTTTTTCTTCCTCTCTTACTTACTTCACGTAACTGACATAGCTGGGACAGCTAATGTAACGAACGTGGGCATTAAATTGGTGGACCAGGGTGCTTTTTTCGGGTGTTTTCCTTTTAGACCCATCAAGAAGTCGGAGCACCCCCTATCAACTCCTGGATCGACGACCCGCTCAAGAAGGAACACTTACAGGATTCATCCTATCGTTCCAGTCCCACTTGAACTTGACATTTTTGCTTCTGTCGCAAACTGATTGCTTCAGTGCAAATCGATGGGATACTGAGCGCTACTGAAATCCGACAGTTTGTGTTTGCCAAATCACTCTGTGATGTCTCACTTGTGTGCTCACTGCATCTGAACTATTTCAATGAATCACGGGTAATGCTGGTCTTCAGCAAAACCTGATGGTACATTACCTTTTGACTTAGTCGTCTTTCTCATCATTCCCATTCACCTCATCTCTCGGCGTCTATTAAATGCTGTCGCTGCACTTTGTTGGGCGAGACCACGTAGTGGTCAGTTTATGATGCGGCATGAAACACACTGGATCGGTCACATTGTAAGAATCCAAGGTACGAACCGAGTCATTTATTTCAACGCTTATCACAAACCGAATGCATCAGCTCCGACCACCAACCGTCCCGCCCGTCTTCAAACTCTCTCCTTGAGGTTGCTTAGCATGCGCCGCTTATTTATCCACTGTCAGTGCACATACATCTGCGGCTCCGAAGTGTTTTTCTTCTGTGCTGGCCTTGATATTGATCTGCTCTTGGTTTTCTTGGCACTTCTATACTTAGGGCTCTTGGCGCAGTAATACTTGTTTTTGGCCCACCACAACGTCAGTGGTTGAAGATCTTTCTGACATGCCCAGTTACTCAGTCAGTAGCACTTCTACATTCGGTTTCCCAAATCTAGTCCGATCAATCTTATTCGCTTTTCTTCCCTCTGCTTCACCGTTCCATTTATTGGACTGGTAGAAAACAGTCCGTTCACTTACCTTTCCGAGGTTAGGGTGTGACACATTCCGAACTCCAAAGAAGCCCGTTGGACAGTTGCGACTGATTGTACACGCGCCGAGACATCACATAGGTGACAGAGCCTATGCAGAAACTGCGACTCGGATCCCGATGCAGACATCGCACCTGAATGTCTACACTCTCATTGCCTACCTCTCATTGCCCTCGACATCCACTTCTGTTCAGTTTGTTATCCACCTAAGACGTCTAGTTTTAGCTCACTGTACATTTAGTTAGACCGTGTTCTCAATAAAGAAAACATTGGCCAAGAGATAAGTTACGTTCACTGACACCCGCTGCTGTTTGTCGCAACGCTCCTTGCTGCATAAGTAACTTGCTGAGTTCGCCAACTCCATATGAAATCGCCCCTGCTTTACTGCCCACTGTACACGTCACCTTGATGGCTCCGGTCTTATGCCCTTACTCATGGCCTTAATCCTTCAAGTCAAGTCAAGGATGTTTTTGATGCGCCTAGGACTGATGGGCGTTTACCACATGTTTTTAGTATTGTTAACAAAGAAAGTTATTGCAAGTGAATACTCGTAATAAGGATAGTCCAGACGATTATGGATAGGGGTGCCATGACTGTCTAAGTTTACAGGCCAATTCTATAGTAACGGGGTCATGGTCCGACACAAAACCCGCTAAACAAAGATCGGCCGTATAACTACAGGCCTGTGTTTGGTTATATGTAAGTGTATTTTCTTTTGGTCGACGATGTAGATGATGCACATTGAATTACTGTTCTATTTGGGGAGGTAAACTGGCACCGATGAGTATTGTTGAGTCGTTTTACAGTAATGTCAACAAAATAGCGTTTTTAGTGCCCTTACACCGAGAAAACCCTTCCGTAGCCTAAAGGATCACAAGCCTGCCTTGTAATCCGAGTGCACGGGTTGGAGACTGTGTAGATGACCGGGCGACCGTCGCAGTATCCTTAGCGCACATGGGACTGTTGGTGGTTGCGCGGAAGCAAAGCGTCGGTACTGCATATTGGCGTACTCCTGAAACCTTTATACCGAGATAAAGGTTTCTTTGAGCGTTCAAGTGTTCACTCAGTAAATCGGGACAACTCGCGATGGCGCTGTACGTTCAATGATGATGATGATAAGCTGCGAAATAAAACAGCTGGAGATGGCAGTGTCTCAAGCGAGGAAAGGGAAACTGCAGTCTCCTGACTTTCATTAGTACTTTGTTCGCTAGAAATGATTCCCCAATGCTTCGCTGATACTCTTGTTAGTAACTACTCCCCGTCAGCATGCATTCGCGTACATCTTGCATGTAGTTGCTAATAACTATCCACCTTATGTTGTTCGAACAGAACACTGTTACACTCCCATGCTTTGAATGACAGATGATAAGATTTGTCTCATATTGTGTTTGTTCACACCGATTTGTAGCTCGCCTGAAGATACCGTGATCAGGCGGTCGACACTTAAGGTCACCTCGTAACATATTTAAGCAACGGCGACCCCTCTGGGTCAGGTTTTGAGTCAACGTCAAGACTTTTGATGATCCGTTACGAACTATCGTCTCCTGGTTTGTTGAAATCTGTCCGCTTGGTGAGGCAATTCCACTGCAAGAAAACTTTTAAATGTCGAATTCCAGTACCAGACCGATCGCATGACAACAATTCACGGTTTACATTATTTAATGCATTGCTTTAGTCAAGGAACTAGAGCATACAGGGGGGCACATAGGTGAATTGGGGGATATTTCCCCCCCCCCCCATAAGTTTTCCAGCGCATAATTATCTGTGTCTTATGCTATGCTCGCACAAAGGGCACCCAGTCACCACTCCCGTCGAGTGGCACTCCGTAAATCACGAAGACTGGGTCGTGATCACGAACTCGTTTCTTAAGATTTCCCTTGGATATTTACTGAGTACATGCACTATTCGTGAGAGTCCTCTCCACTGACTCACCATTGTTATTTGCATTATGTCGCTGGCTCTAGTTCCATTGGTTCACGCTTATTCGCAACGTTCGTCCCGGCGAAAATTACATTGAGCCGCGGTGCTGACTTCCTGGGTGGATTGTTCGATTAGCTGGTCCATCTGGTCACACGCTTCTTCCCTTGATCCGTTGCCACAGCAAACCTTGACTCAGGTGCGTGCAGTCTATTCGTGGACCGGCAAACCAATCCACTTCTCACGGGTACACTCATTTTCGCCAGGTCCTGTGCGTTTGGGACCTGCTGGCGCCTGATTGGTTGTCTGCACACTCATTGGATGTCCCCGCAGAGCTCAACGTGGACGTGCGCGAACCACTCGCTGCTCGGTCGACCAATCCGCTTCCGACGACATGTTCGCTTTCCTTCGGCCTAAGTTATACTTGTTCGCTGGTCCGCGAAATGCTACGAGGTGTTCGATTGGTCATCTGCTTACCGATATCATCGTGTTTCCACTCACCATCGATTTCAGCCACCATCACAATTCCTATCTTCTTTCCAGCCATTTGACACTGTTCCGCTTATAATTACGAGCACTGTCTTACACTGATTTTATGACACATGTTGTGGGCCTGTTTTTACTAAATAAATAAACTTGATTCTCGACGATGCGTGACACGCCCATATCGGCATGGTCGGATATGTGCATACTTTATGGAACGTTGATCACAGGTGGACCAGGAAAATCGCATATTGGTAGGACAAGGAATAGATAATATACGGTTTGCTGAGTAGCAATTATGTTGGCTGGCTTTTAACTGTTCTCTCATGTATAAAGCAGCGAAATCACGGGAGATAGTATGATCGTAAAACATGCATTAGGTCACAGAAAACCAAAACCTTGCTCATACGCTTGCTTTGTTGTTATGCAACAATCAACCAGTTTGATCACGTTCTGTACAGACAAGAGCTTATTGATGCTTTTTCGAAATTTGTGTTTAACAATGCAGGGTGCATTTCCAACTGAACCACATGTTAACTTGTACTACAAACCTCGGTCATTTTGATCAGTTCGATTGCAGGTATAGTAGAGATTTTGTGTACCGCTCGCTTTGAGTGCAGATTGCACCCATTTCGTCTGGATCTCCTTCTTGGCCTATGTAACTTAATCTCCCCACAGCGGGGTAGCATTTCTAAGCAGCTACAGGGACGTTATGTTTTTCCGATTGTGGAGTGATGTTTCGCTGTACTCCAGAAAGCTGCCGACATCCAAACGACAAGACTTTTCACTCCCTGTTTTCAGTGACCTTGGAAACCGAACGGATCTTCGGGAAATCTTCATTTCTTGCCTGCTGGTTCCAACCACGTCGGCTTCTCCAAACAATGTCGAAACCCCTGGGGCTCTTGGTGCAGCCATCACAGAAGAAGTGAAACCAGCTGCTGCTCTGGGATTAGGGCGTTTGGTCGTCGGGCAGCCAGATGTGTTACTGCCTTTCCTGGTCGATCGGATTTCTCAAGTAGTCGCCATGTATGTTGATCCGGGCTCCGCTGGAGCTGCAAATCAGCATCAACTGTATCATATGCTTCAAGCTCTAAGAGAAGTACGTTTCATGTCTGCCCATCTTCACTAAATTTGCGACCTCCCCCCCCCAAGTTTCTCGCGAGTAGTTCTGCTTTTCTCTAACTACGACTCAGTTCTCCATCGAATCATATGTCATCGTTCAGACCACTGCTGCTCACAGCACTTCAGCAGTGACTATGGATTGTATCCGAGGTTTTAGGCTCGCGTTTTCTGCCGTTTTTTTTCGTTTATAGTCCGAATATCGGAATTCGTTGAACCGTGTTGTGACATCTATCCATCTGGAAAGTCTGTGCTTATAGAAAATTGGGGAAGCAGTTGAGAGGACTTCAATGAAAAATCACGGATCATTAATTAAATACGACACGGCATCGGTAACCTGCACCGTTCCAATCGACGCCTTGAGGAATCAGGTCCAACCAAACTGAAACCGATATCTGGGATAAGGAATGGTCCTCTCCTGTCGCTAGCATTAACATTTTTGGCGCCGTTAAATCTGTAACTGAAGGATGTCGGGGATTTTCTTCAGCTAACAGTTCGACTAATTTTGCTCTTCAAGTCATTTTCCTTGTACTATTTCAATTCGACACCAGTCATTCACCATTATAATACGTCAGCCTGTCGGATTTGTAGTATGCATCGATGGGCATTCCAAATAATTCGATAGTTAACGTCGTAAGCAGCTCAATGACAAACGACGCTCCAGGACGATGAAGAAGTGTTTGTTGCGCTGCGTCGCCCATTACTTCACCAGATCCCGACTTTGCCGCTATGCACCCCCACCGGTAGCGAAGCATATAGTCACTTGATTGACACCTCCAGTATTAAGTGACCACATCTCCAATGTCTTCAGTAATTTGAGTCGCACTGCAACATAGTGATCTGCGCGGTGCCACTCGCATGTAATCTTGGAAAATTCGGAGCAATTCCTGGATATTTTTCAACTTTAGCAGTTGACACACCTTTCACCTATGTCAAACTATGTGAATTTTGGCAGATTTACTCTTTTCTGTCCGAAAAATATCTGCACATAAAACAGCACCGATTCTGTACCCATCGTCAAAAACAACTCTCCATACTGGCTGACGTAATCAATTATGGAAAAGAGCTTCCCCAGCTTCCTCCGATAAAAACTCGCCGACTAGATTTGTCTGCCCCTTGACCAGTCACTTGGTCGTCCTGACCTTTTTTTTATCACTCACGCATTTCTGTTGTTGTCTTCGATAATAACTAAATCCATCGTTCTTCACTGTTTTGGATCATTGTTGTTGAACTGCATTACACTGTTCACACAGCTGACGAAACATAGAAACATTTTCTGATGTACCATTAACTTTGGTGCTGGATTTACTACATTTTATGCGTTTTCGACTTAACTGATCTTGTTCCTTGCAAGCCCCAAATTTTAGCCAAAACCAGGATTTAACGTCTTTATGCTACTGAACACCGTTGCAAGTAGTATCGAATCAATGGATGTTTCTGTGTCGACTCAAGAATGTTCCTGTATCAACGCCTCTACGTCATTCGCCCTGACCGGGGAGGGTCTAAGCTGAAAATGTCAAAAATTGTGTGTTTTTCAAAGCTCGATATATATGTCTAGATATAGTCAGATCTTCATGACATTTTGCAGGGAATATCATCATTTATCATGCAAATAATATATGATAGAGAAATAAAGATAAGTGTGTTTATTATTTTTTTATTCACATTTTAGTAAGGTATCTAAATTAGTGATGCCGAATTGGTTCTTGTGGCGTTCTGGGTCCCATCAAAAAAGTATTCTATGTATAGAGCTAAAATTTTGTGCAGTTATTTAGATATAGTTCAGCTTTAGAATAAACTATACTCAACTCTGTAGCTTAATTAGGTCTTCCAATACTGATGTTCAGATTTGCATAAAAATCTGAACTGAGCTTAAAAGTTGACCAAAGTGTAGGACACTTAAACTTAGTTTATTCCATGCAGAAACTAAAGAAGAGCATCTCCTCCAATTTTGTATGGACTTTGAACCATTAGTTTTGAAATTATCCTCAGAACGCTGACGTAAAAGTGAAAAAACGCAATTTTGAGAAAAATGGCTTTAAAGTCGAAGTACATGAAAAAATGAAAGTCATTTAAACTTTTCTAGCATATCGGTAATTTATACAAATTTTGGTGATGTCCCAATATATGATTTACGTAGAAAAACTGACCTGGACTACTCATGGGCACCAGCAAGCTAGAAATCTTTGATGTTTTCACACTCCCTTGAAGTCGCTACTATCCGTGCTCCTCGTTCAGCTGGCAGAAGTCCGGCAGCTGTTGCATGAATTATTGTTCTGTCTATTTCCTTACAACACAGTCTGGTATACAATCCAGTAGACATCCCCAACTTCTCAAATATAGGCAGCCTACCCCTCTCTCCAGCATTGAAAACCACTGCAGCAACTGCAAGAGTAAGCCCTTGCCTTCCAACAAAACCAGCTTTTGGACACCTTTGCAAAATTAAATTGTGGAAGCTTTCATTTGTATTTTGTGTTCCTCCATGGGCACACTTTGACAGTAATGTCTCACTGGCAACAGTTTCAAAAACAGGCCTGATAGCCTTGCACACATAAGGAGGGAGAGCATTCCTGTCAGTGTCTCCAGCTGGCTGCTTCTTGGAACGACACCAGTCTCCATAGTTAATGTGATCACGGTTGCGGTGCTCCCATATGGCCCATATATCTGAGGCACATTATTAGTATTTCTTCTTATTTCTTCACATACACGAGTGCTGTGTTTTGCAAAATCCAAGATGGCGGCTTACTAGCAACCGATTAGACGAGCTCGCTGATTGATTCAAATGGCTCTTCTCTCACTTTAACAACCAATGAAAATGGTTCTTTTAAACTGCATGGTAATGCGGAATTACCAGATAGGCCTTGCAAAGCCGAATCGAATGCAACTTGAATGAAGTTTCTAGGACGTCTGCAAGCCGAGATGCAGCATTTTAGAACTTACACATATATAATGAGCTTGAATAGATTGAAAAACAAGTCACACATGCATTCACAAAATGCTTAAATACTGCATTACAAAAGTTACTAACAGAAAAATGGTTCGCAGATTTATATTCCAGGAAGACGGCAATTGACATTTGTATGGTTTACCAAAATGGTCAAAAATTACGATTTTTCAGATTTTTCAGCTTAGACCATCCTTTTAAGCTAAGCAATAAGAGGTCGTTACACACGTCACGAGATGTACGTGAATGTCTCTGAACCGACTTGATACTTTGACTGTCTGCCACAGGTTCACATCGTTTTAACATTGAAATAGTGACTTTATGGGAGATTTCATTTCTTCCCGTATATTGAATGAATCTACTCAGTTCTCTTGTATTCCAATTAGCTGCCAGAGTAACATACCTTGGTCAGCCTAAAGGTGGTTTCAATTGGCTACCATTGGTTTATGGGTCACAGCATGCTCAGCTTTCTGTTGCAAATGTAATTTTATTCTATTCCACTTAATCGCTTATTTTACCACTGGATATCATTTTATGCGTTTCACTTCTACTGTTTTGCAGGTTATTGTTAACCTGGCTGGGTTTTCCGCTAACGATGTTTTGAAAACACATTTAGACGCCATCTGGTGAGTGCATCTTGGTTGTCCTTGCGATCGGTTCCGTAGTGTGCCACTGATTGTTTTTTTTTCTTAAAGCACCATGCACTCACATTCTACGAATTCCTGAGGCTTTCAGCGTTCATGGGGATCCCTCTACTCCCATTCGGTCGATTTTAATGTTCCTTCTATGATAGGTTGTTATTGCTAGCCACGGGTATCTTTGCTATTCAGTTTCCACGCAAAGTATACATACCACTCAGTTTCTTCATGTTGACTTCATTTTCACCTCGCTTTTCTCTTAATTACAGGACACTTCTGATCGCTAGTTCTGGTGTACCAGAAGAGGGCACGCGAACTATCGTGGCTGAATGTCTGGGCCATTTGATCTTCGTTTCTCCCCGTCAATTGATTGGGCGTTTACGACAACAAGTATGTCCTCCGCTGTACTGCGTTTATATTATCTGGTATTTTTAGACAATTCTGTCATGGCTTGCATTTATTGCTGGCATATATCATCCGAAACGGATAACCGGTCTATGGTAGTCCCGTCTAGCTTTGGGCTTATTCGCAGTGTCTCAACCCGAGTGCAACCATACCCTGCTGACCCTCTATTCTACAATTTCCTTAACCTCACTCTGCTTACCGTATACAATAGGGCGGGTGAGCCAAAAACAAGCTACTGCTGATGTCTCTATTCTCTATTTCTCACCTTCTGATCCCCGTCCCTAACAATCGGACTCCCGTTGTCCCCAGCTTGGACAGTGCTAGATACAGGGTCGTTGACATTTACTCCCAGTTCCCCGAGGGTCCGTATAGTTCATGGCGCTCAAAGCCCTCCCCTCAGGGCACCTTTCTCAATTTCCTTGCGGATGTTCAGTTTTGGTACAGTGAGTTATACTCATGGACGGGCTGCACTTACGCAAACACTATCGGTATTGACATATGCTGCTGCCTACCCGAAGTTTCAGTTCATTGCTTTCACACGATTATTGGACTAACAACGGCACCTAGTCTGTCATTCATCACTCGTTACACACTTTAGCTAGAGATGTGGTAAACCCCTCAGGCTTGATGCCACAATACGCGAGAAAGTGAGGAAGGGACACAGATGAGCTACCGATAACGGATGGACATCCCTTCGTAGAGCTAACAGCCGTTTATTTGGTCGTAAAAATACGCTATAGTATTTGTCCGAAATGAGATTGTGATTGAATAGAGAGGCTAAGTTGGAAGGAAAGGTACAAAGAAACTCACAAAACATTCGCTACTGAAGTCGGATGCTGACCATCTCAACAAGTGTATCTGGGCAAATGTGTTCATCGTCTTTCGGACCCAAACCAGGGAGCCCAGAGGCTTCAACTGAAGACAACTTCGGACTAATGACCTTCATTCCTCTTGACCAAGTCATCGCTTGGCCACCTCTCTTCTTCTTCCATCCACACCCCCGTTGCGCCAACTACACGCCGCGGGAGTTGGTATACTGTCATGCGTAACACCTGGCCCAGTCATCGGAGCCTGATGCTTGAGCGATTCACTTTTTCTGTCCCATAGACAAGGCGCCGATCACTCTGCTTGCTCACGCAGTGTTCCCACCGGGTGTGAGCCAAGCTGCAAAGGCGCACCGGTGATCGGACGTAACTAGCGCCTTTGCGTCTGCCGATTTAATGGGCAAGGTTTCACAACCGTACAGTAGAGTCGAACGTACGGCTGAATTGTACGCTCTAACCTTCAGGAAGAGAGCGATGTGACACCGGCGCGATAGGTGACGATGATTAGCAAAACTACCTCGAGCTTTTGCTATATGTTTCGTGACCTCTTCTATTCTATAGACGCTAATATAGCTGCCTAAACGCTTGAATTTTTGAAAGACTTCCTAATGATTACCACAAAGGATTAACGCAGGGGTGAATCCCTGCCAATCTTGGAAACACAATTTGCATTTCGACGATGCAAAGCAAAGCCAAAACCGATTAACAGCCAGTGCAAACCTGTCCAGAGTCGCTTGACACGTTTATGAGCTGTCACAGATGAGAGCAATATCAGTGTACTCCAAGTCAAGAGGTCGGTCACATTGGAGAAGCTTCGCACCTTTCAAGTCATGTTCAGTGAATGCAGTTTCCATGACTTCACCGATGGCGAAGTTGCAAATGAAATGTGACAGCGGGTAACCTTCTTACTCCGTTGGCGATATTGAAAGACGATGATAGCTTGCCGTAAGCTTTCACTCTGCCGTAACTATGCGCGTAAAGCGCATTAAAACAATGCGTCAGACACGCTCGTTGCTCACGCGGTGTTCCCACCAGATGTGAGCTAATTTACGAAGGCACCGGTGGTCGAACGTAACTAGCCTCTTCAGGTCCGCTGCTTTAAGCGGCCAGGTTTCACAACCGTACAGTAGGGTCGAACGTACTGCAGTAGACCTGGTGGACTCGGTAGTTTCGGTAGCAGGATAGAGCAAGAGTTTTGAACACTTACGGCCGGATCTTCTACTTAATCCACGCCTTTGTTCTCATGGAATCTACTGTCAGTGAGATAATCAGGTACAGTGCTGGCGTCCTTATTCACCATGTGGGGTGCTGTTCTATTCGTTAGGTAGAGCACTCCCGGGAACAATTCAGTTGACCTCCCGATTCTGAGTCATTTCGTACTCAGGTGGCACAGATTAAGCATTGATCAGCCAACTGAACTTGTGGTTCCTCCTGTGTGCTTCATCATCCACTTTTTTGTTAATTGTACTTCTCTCTTTTCGATTGTGGTTTTGCTTGAGTCAACGCACCTTTGACTAGGTTGCCTGGAGACTTCCCTTCTGATTATACTCAGCGCCATGCTAATTTTAGCCAAGTGGTGCTTATAATCTGTTACAGAAAATAATCTGGTTTTTCTGCTGCTCCCAGTGGCTTATTTCTTGTATCACTTTAGTCTTTCCCTGCTCACAACTTGCACCGCAGTACTCCGCGCTTCGGATAAACGCCGATGGATGTCTGCCGTTCACTTCACGCTTACGATCATGCGTGTACTGTTTCAGCTGTTCAACTAGCGAAAATCTCCATTACTGCCGAGACTTCTGTTTTCTTCGATAAACCTGCATGGTCTTAATGATAGATACACCACTCCAATGTTTGGAGTCAGGCATTGACTAGCCTTTTATCATCTTCTGTGTTATCTTTATTAGCCACTTACCTATACACTATGAGTTGAATCAACGGATCGAACGCCCGATTTCAAGGTTTTCCCGCCTTTGTGTGTTACTTCATACCTCTGCACCACAGCATGTTGGCCGTTGTTGCCTCCTCATTTACCCTTGTCATCACTTCCTCTTCAGGCTGTTTTCGATCCCACTGCTCCTCTAGATGTTCACCGCCGATTTTTTCAGATACATCAGTTGGTATTGCCTAATTTCGGTCTTTCCCTTCCTTTTCATACAGCTCAACTCGCCGGAGGCAAACTCTTCTCCTCTGATTCGCTGCACCCTGGTCACTGCTGTTAAGTTCATCATCATCGTCACAGATCAGGATGTGCCTTCGCCTCATCGCACTCTAGGTCAGATTCGTTTGGACAGCCTAGACTGGCCGAATAGCGTTGCTCCTTACGCCATCCCACGTGACGAATCCGCAGCCGCAAACGCCAATGTGACTGTGTTGGAAGAAATCGATTCCGTTTTGCGGGCAGACCATCCACCTCCACTGCTCGATTTCCTCACCCGTTTGGCCGACTCTGATATGCTTGTGCGACGTGCTGCTTTAGTGGCCCTGAATACATCGGCCCATCACCGACCAGGCCTTATTCGCCCGTTATTAAACGTTTCGTTGGAGTATCCCCCAGGTCATTCCACCACGTTATTGAAATTGTTGTATGCGGAGACTGCGATCCGCCCCGAACTAATACGTGAGGTCGAGATGGGGCCATTCAAACATAAGGAGGACGATGGCCTCGACCTTAGAAAGGTAATGTCTATTAAATTTGAACTACTCATGAGTAACGAGATGGCCAGCATCTTTCGCCTATTGCTCTAAGCGTCATTTCTTGCAGTCCACTAGGTTTCCCGTAAGAGGTAACACCGGTCATAGATGAGGATCACCTTGTTCAACAAACAAAAGGGGCACATTTATACGAACTCAGCACCATACCCCTGATCTTTAGACCACCGTTCCGCCTCAGTCTACTTAGTGATGCAGCTAGTCCCATTGCGTGTACGCCACTTCCCGTGGCTCATACGCACCAACTCATTCATCAAATTGAACCGCGGCCGAATATTTCACCTTCCGGTGTATTCATCTATTGTTTCAGTGTGCCTTCGAATGTATGTCCACTCTTCTTGAAACTTGCCTGGACAAGTTAGATGTCTCCGAGTTTCTCTTACCCCTCATCGATGGTCTCAAGGACCACACTGACATCAAGTTGCTCTGCTACCAAATGGTCCAGCAGATTGCTCGCATTCGGCCTTTGGAGATAAGTGCGAGTAAGTCTACCTCTGTGCACACAAAGTTTACAGTTAAGTTTAGTTGACACTTCTAAAACGTAGGTATTCTTATTTCTTCGTCGGCATGCATGTAAAATAAAGCAGTTTATGATGTAATTGTCCAGATTATTAGACTCAAACAACCCCTTCTGTCTCTTCTTTCCGAATTAACAACGCGGATCAGCTCCGTTGACGACAGCGACTGCAGATCGACCTTTAACGCGGCCCACCTTGTGGGCTTTGCGAGCCGCTCCTTATCTTTTCCTAAATTCAACAACGATGTTCTTCACCATCTCTGATCAGCAGTAATTTGCCGTTTCAATTATCCTATGAGTCTAGGTGCGTTCGATATTTGATCATGCATTTAGGCGTGAGGATCAACGAACATCTCCCAGATTCGCTAAACAATAACGTGATTGGAGCCAGTTTCGCTGCGATAACCTATCGTCTGATCAGCACTGGACTTCATGCCAACAAACGAATCGCTGTCATGATTCTAAACACGGAACCACTGAGGAGTCACTATGCATAAGAGGAACAAGTCTAAATCCGGGCCTTTTAATGGAAAGCTAACTAGGATATAATGTTTCCATTTTACTTACGGTCCTTGTGATCGGAATGACCGAGGTCCACCTCAAGTGAATCGAGGTCTCAATAGAGGTTGCTTGTAGCAACCCAACCACCAGCGGATTCTCCAAGTTCAGCTTTGAATTCGTTTCCGCTGTACCAAGCGTTGCTCGCGGATCTCAGTGGCATACTGCTTATGGCGTCAACCATGAGCCACTAGGCTTTGAGTTCCAGCCCAACTCAGGCTATCTCCAACTGATGAGTCCCAACCAGGACGAAACCGCTTTCTTGGGGTGCCAGTGTTGGGATGAGCAACACTATAATGTTTCCATTCTAACTAGGATATAGTTGGTTTGAAAGTTGCAAGTCTGCCATTGCCTCCATGGCTCAGTAGCATAGGCTGCTGGCTAGTGGTTTAAGCTGCTCTCCGTTACGGGTTTGCCTTCCGTCAGAGGATCGAGGGAATGCGCACCATTGTCGAGCCCCAATGGGGCGAAACGACCGTCAGTTACTTTTCCGAATTGACGCTTCGATTGTCGCGCTTGGGAACTGCTGTGATGAACCTACCATCCTTACGTTTATCATCCGCGTCCATCCTTGGGGTTGACAAGGCTGAACAAGTTATATTTGCAGACATTTGGAATCAGCGTTTTCACTAAACAGTAAAAGCCCTTCTTAGATACGTCACTACAACTTATTCAGGTCAGCGACTACCTTCCTGCGCACTCTCTCTTCCCCGATGTGGCTACCTTACTGGGCACAACGCATCTTACGTCTCGATGCCACGATCCGATGGTCTGTGTAGTTTGCCATCCTGCCCTTCACAAGCTACGCCAAAAATATCACATTCATCGGAGGAGTCCTTGCCTTTTCACTTAACTAACGCTTCCTTTCGCCTTTAGTTAACCAACTCATTTTAGGATTAGCTGTTTCGATCTTCAAGTCCTTGAGTCATCACGCACTATCATTTTCCTCTACTCAACGGGTTTAGCCGCTAGTGCCTGAGCCCCTAACTATCACTCTGACAGATTGAACTAATCTTCACCCATGTCATTCTTGTGACTTCTACCCACACTGCATTGCTTTCTAAACGCGTTTGCCCATTTCCGCATCATTAGAACTTTGATTTGTTGCTGAATTACATGAACAAAAGTCCCAGTATTCTGATACTGTCTGGCATTCGTCGTTAACTTACTGCCTTTGAGCTCTTCGTACGCAAAATTGTTTGTAACTGGATGCCTCCCAGCCGATTTATTTGCAAGTTTTCTCGACTCGGTAACAATTCACTCACTCCCACTTCTCTTTGTGCTAAACCTTCTCGTGTGTGCATGTCTTCCTGCTGTGCAGAAATGGATGCTTTGGCAGTTCCGCTGAAAACCATTCTATTATCTAAACCCAAAGAGGATTGGGTCAAACAGGAGATGGAGAAAATGCAAGAATTGACTCGGTGTGCCATTTCGGTCATTGTCAGCTTCAAATCCATCGATGATGCCGGTATGTATCCGCATTACGCCAGATTTGACCGATTTCATTTGATTCGATTTGCTCAGTGCATATTCCCTGTTTACTTCGCGCAGTGTTTTCTCTCTTTCGTTTTCCATGTTAGTCGATTGCTGTCCCCTGAGCTACACCTACACTTACCAGGATCACCCCAACAATAGATCGGAATTCGTACAATTTTTTGCTCTGCTCAGTTTTGTCATTCTACTGCACATTTACTGTCCAATTAGCATTCTTATTTTCTTTCGTATTCATCTGGTTCCTCATGCCGAAGCTGATCTTATGTACATCTTGCTACTTCACCGCAGTTGGGCTACAACGATTTACACTTCTCTTCTGCTTCATATTAAGTGTCAATTTTCCGTGTTTATGTTCCTTCTAACTATGTGTTGGTTGTTTGATATCCCCCGTGTGGCCGCGTTTAATGTGAGTGTTGACTAGGTGCCTACCTCGATTCCTGACTCTAGGAGATTGAATCGTTGCTGGATGGGACAGGGTGCACGGTCCTCGTGGCCGTGTACGTGAGGTACGCATGATTTCCAATTTACTTAGACTGGAATGCTACTGTTGTGCATGTTGAAGGAGTGTGGGCTGGCTCAATGAAACGTGGCTCCCATCCACCTGGCTCCCGGTTTTATTTCTTCGGATTCACACTGGAGCGTAGGGGTGGTGCAGTTCAAGCCACCCATGGTCCCTATGTAGGTGCAGGCGTCCTGTGGTTTTTCTATGGGGACCGTAGTGACAGGCAAATCCGGAATCGGTTGTTGTCAATCACATTTCCTTGCAGTTGTTTGCTATCCCCGTCGCTCACTTTAGCCGCTTGCATTTTGCCCCTTAGCACTTGATTTGCTGCACCCTACCACCTGGTTCGAATTATCACTATGCACCGAAGTGTGCGGTAGACACAATGGCCTTGTCATCAAATATTTATTGCACTAAATGATCTGAACAGCTGTATAATCGCAGTGAAAGCTTCCTCTGAGAGTACATACAAGCATGGTAATCGGAAACACTTGCACCGTCCATCACTAATGATGTGTTCAGTTGTATACTCCAACCGAATCATTTGGGATGCATCCGATTGTCCCATCCGAAGCGCTCGTTTCTTGTTCCATCGGTATGCCGTCTTCATCTCCACTCATTTGTGCACTGTGCATACGATTGAAAGAGCGTAGTTATGAACCATCATCTGGTTCGAGCTACACTGCTTTCTTTACTCCTTTCGTGCAGTGTTCGCTAACATGTTAGCTCAGTGGGGCTATCACATTCTATACGCTGGTTTACGCTTTTGAGCTCTTCCCGGGGACGCGCACCCTGCATTCCCCTTCAGTGCGTTCTAGATTTCACTAACAATATCAACTGGATACCAGTGCGTAGTACTGGCGCTTAGCTGCCGCCCAACTACCACCAATCGCACGTGTACTAAAGATATTGCGAGGTCGCCTGGTCCCCTACGCAGGCTCGAACCTGCGTCCTCGGATTACAGGGCAGGGTTGTAATCCTTAAAACTACAGGCTGGCTAGGTTTCATTCCTTGATACCGTGAGTACTGTGTAGAGGTACCTATGCACTGACCTTCCTTTCTTCACATGTCACGAAAGTGTACCTTCATGTAGCAGAACAAGGGGCTCTTCGGCACAGGCTCACGCGACACTGTCATCAGCTTGCGCATCACAGCCTACCTTCTCAAATCATAGAGCTTGTATGTCAGGCTTGATTCCCGTTATGAAATTTTGGTATGAAACATTCTAAACACCTTATGGAGTTGATGTTGGACGCCTTAATCGACCATTGAGCAGCGGTTCTCGATGGTGTGCAAATTTTCCTATTTTCATTGTTTCGTCTTGGAGTACCCGCTGTGTGTCTGAATTGCGACATGTAATCTCAATTCGCTGTGGAGCAAACTTCAACCATCTTTATCACTTGGACCGCGTCCGGAGTGAAGATTTCGAAGATGCTTTCTCCAAACACTTCACTCCACGTCCTGATTTGGACTCATCAGGTAGAGATCGCTTGTCTTACGCCTTTGTCATTAAGCCAGAGCTCCGCGTGTGTGTCGCAATGCAGACTCACGGCGGGTACTCTGTGACCCAACAAGTGATACTCGCGGAGCTCTGACTTCAGAACCAAGGCGTAAGTCGTCAGACACTGTGTTAGTTTCCACTCTCAGTCCAGGTCATCTCTCCCTGAAGAATCCAAATCAAAATGAGATCGGTCAGTCATGGAATGCAGTCTTAGGAGAGAGTAGTTCCTAAACTATCTATTTTGATTTCACCTCCCACTGTCTCTGTTTTTTGCGATAGGATCCTGTACTTTAATGACGCTTCGACTTATCTGACCTAAAAATGTTGCTCTAACGAGCAGTGAAATACCCGCCATTTTTCTTGTTGGACATCCTCTCGTCTCCCTATCTTGACCCTACTATTTCATACATTTAGTTAATTACATATGTACGCCTATTCATGGCTTTGTTCGAATCAATCTTCCATATTATTTTCTGCTTTTTTTAGATAAGAACCGTTTTTACCTAGACTTGTTACGCACCATTGAAGCGGATCCTTCTCTGAAGCCTCTGTATGCAAATGCGATAGCAGTGGATTCCACATCTGGCCCGTCTCCTCCACTGTACTCCCTTTATTCCAAACGTGTTCCTTATTCCGCCTACAGTTCTTTAAATTAATTCTTGTCCCTGCCACCCTTCTACCGGTGACTCGCTTACACACCCCTCCCCATACTTTCCTCATACTTCCAATAGCGAGAGAATGTATTCATTGGCCAAAGCGTTTTTTTCTTTCTGTCCTTTTCGCCACCTCGTCACTTCTATCGTCTGTTCGTCGACCTGGCGTCACAATGTGTCAACTTGTGTAGTTGAGAACGTGCTCCTCTTCACTAATCTCTCCTTCTATTTATTCGTCTAGTTTGGCATTCATGTGTCGGTTTGCGTGTTGTGCTCTGGCTCTGTTTCGTTTGTTTTGCTCTTTTGGCGGTGGAGCATGCTTGGGGCTTTGCCACGCTGTTTTCTGCATGTTTTCCTTTCCGGCGTATCCCATCGGACTACTTCATATACACATTTTATCCACGTTCCTGCGATCAGTAGCTCCGTGATTGGATTCACTCCTACCGCTCTCCTCGTTCAGCATCGTGCTTGCTTCCACTCTTTAGAAAATAAAGGCATCAACAGTACGCCGGTACACAGTACCGACGCTTCGGTGCCACGCGACGACCACCGGTAGCACGTGGACTAAGGATACTACGAGGGTCGTCTGGTCCCTACACAGGCTCGAACCCACATCCCCGGATTACATGGTTGGCTTGTAATCATTAAGCCTACGGACCGGCCCACTCTCCTGATATGGATAGTCAAACAGACCGACTCGCACCCTAACCCACCACTGTGCATCGTGGGCACCGCTTGCCACAACGGTCTGGGACTCATTGCAGATGTGCATCTAGAGTACTCGTTTTTTTGATTACATCACGGCACGCAATCTTCATTTTGGGCTTATCCACTTTGAAGTGAGTCTCGGTCAGAGTGTGTGTCCGTTTTTCGGAGAGCAGCATCATGAGAATAACATATTATTGATTCAATTGCAATCTGTGCTCTGTGACACAGAACAACGATTCCGTTTGAAGGTCGACGTTGAATAGTTATACCCACATCAGTCTGTTTCCCTCAGCTTGTTCTTGATGATTCGGGCAGTAACATGGAATCGATCAAGTCAACTTTTCTCTGTTAGGCTGCAGGAACATGAAGATGACACAAAAGCTTGCTTCAGACTCTACCGCATCTGTCAAGATGATAGGCGGTATATTTTAGTTAGGTGACTAAATCAAACAGTTCTATCACTGCGTCACTTGCGTTTTCCACCCACTGATGTGGTTTGCTCCGCTTCTCTAATCCAAAAAAATGAGATCATATCCACTTACCGTACATGATACCTACTTTCCTCGTTTCAACCTTTCCTCTCTCTCTCTCTCTCCCGTTTGTCGCGAGCCACTTTTGTGCACTCTCTATCCTTTGCTGACTTTGATCAGTCGCAGGACCCCTGTGCTTGTAGATGGATTGCGATGCACCACGCATAGCCCAATCCGCACACTCCAGACCCAGTGTAAACCTTAAGAAATAGGGCGAGGAAGCTCTTTAACTGGATCCGCGAACTGTTTGGTGTTGGTACGCAACGCTCTAGCATTCAAGTCATTGGTGCAGTCAGGTCCTAATTTTTCCCATATTGAACCTGTTCGTTGGGTATGAGCCGTCACGAAGGCTGTGTGCCTATTATTCATTTACAACCTGTAGCAAGCTCCCATAGCCTGGTAATCGGAGTGCCGGTATCAGATCAGCTCTCGGATGTTATGTATGCAGTACAACCCAAGCTGTAATGCGATGTAACCCGTGTGCCGCGGTGCTGGCGTTACCATTCTCGGATTCAGGAAACCTCATCACCACCATTAGCGACATTGCGTCCGCTATTTGAGCTGGTAGTTCGCTACGAGACAATCATACTACTCCGTGGGGTGAGGGTTACTAAGACGGGTTAGCACTCGGGACTGATGTGCCTACCTACACCTAGCCAACAGTACACCGTCACAATCAACTGTCCATTGTATAAAAATAGGACGGCATTGGCAAAACAACCTCCTCGCTGCTCAGCGTCACATTCAGCTATTATCCGGCAGATCACTCAGAACTGAATTTCCTTCACCTCTGCTGTTGTCCACAAGCGGCATCTGACCTCTAGTGCTGGGCGCCTTGGTACACAGTAGTTGGACTACGTGCTTCGTGCGAATTGGTTTGGTGGATCTCAGCGCACAAAACAGGACGGACCAACAACACTCAGTTTAGTCCACCTTGAACTCATTTCTCGCCGCCAAATCAATGTTCCAGCCTTGTACTATTCTGCATCAAATACACATGAAAAGTTTCCCATGTAGTGTGTGGGCGTACGTAGCACTTACGCAGGCCAACGCAATTTACCCAATCTCATTGGATATTCTGATGAACCAATCTTACCATTACCGACCAGTGCTCCCCCGTGCACACAATTGTTTTGGACATTTTGGTACCATCCGACATCAGCAGCGTTACGAAGGTAAATACGCTCAGACTTTAAGTCGCCTTGGATTCCTTGACCGAGGAGGCGAAGTCTCAGTCGTAGAGAATGGCAGCCCTTATTTTGACTGCTTCCAAGAGGTTGTAAATGGAAGCAAATCTACTGTCGCCCCAAGTTCATGAGTAAGACTCCTCACATTTGTATGACTTGAGATTATCTAGTCATTTAGGCGTCCATGGTTAGTAAAACATCCGCCGAATTGATCAACTATCTTTAGTTGCTTGTCCTCAAGACCAAGGGAGTCCTCAAGTGACTGATGATCTTGCAACTGCATTTTGCACTTTGAAGATGCGATGCGCATGACAAATGATGAAACCATTGTACAGAGCTTGTCAAAGGCTCTGTTTATAGCCTCACGATTGTCGAGCAGCCAGCTTATATCGTCTGCGTAATCCACACCAGCTGGTCTAACGCGCCATGCGTCACTTCTACGCCTGCATTCTACTATCTCGCAAGCAAACACTCCATAATGGAGTCAACGATTTAATCAAGTTAGGGAAACGGGACAACTCTCTGGAGAACGCTACTCGTCGTCGGAGTGGCGCCCGATAACTAGGCTTCGATCATAACTTGTTGTGTGCACGGGCACATGATACGTAGTAAAGTGCCCACTGCACTTTCTAGCAATAACTTTCCGACCAGGCATGCAAAGCAGAACAACTGTTGTTAGTCTGCCTGCATTATGCGTGACCCCAGTCCAATCTCCACCGCATGATGACAATTTCGGCTATAGCGCCTCAGTCCTTGGTTGAATCCGCCTGGCTCTTTCTTTTACCCGGTATTCCCTTTCCGAAGTTTGGCGACGGATGGAAATATAGGCCTTTAATTTTGTCATTACCTGCGTCAGGTTAGTAGCTCCATGGTTAGAACAAACGCTACCACTTTTATCCACTTGCCTCTGTAGGCTGGGATGGCCTCTTCTCCCTGTACCTGTTTGAACGACCCATTTGATGCTTTATAGGATTACATCGTCATTCCTAACTAGTACGAACCGCGATTCCCTTTCGGGTCTTCGATGAAGCTTCCAAACTAACTGACTGTTTCAGCCTTCACTACTCAAGCACTGAACTATGCTTACCATTACTACGCACAACGTTCATTCCTCATCGTTAGTGGATACGCTTACTGGTCATGCTGACTCGTAAATTCTTGGGATCAGTGATGCGAGACAGCTGATGGAGTCTGCGGGGTTGCACACACTTCTCTCCTTTATTCTTTTTATCCACCAGACTTTCTTGCCGACAGACAGATAAGGTTCTTAGCTCGCACCTAATTATCCGCCTGGTCCCGTGTTCGACTACGGATTTCTTTCTTTCGGATTCCAAGGGGTTCGAATGCCCATCTAACATCCAGTGTCTAGGTCGATGACAATTGCTAGTGTAGCAAGCAGTGGTTACCGCATTGTGCATGTCGACTTTGATACTTTTCCGCTGAAAGATGCAGGTTTGCAACAAATGGATATATTGGTTGCTTGGATTGGGTGTTTGGATACTGATTTGTTCGCCGGGCTTGGCAATTCCATTACATACATTTCATCACTAATCAAGGTGATTGTGGTAATAGCTAATTGCTTGAGCAAAGCTGAGGAGCTGGCCTTATCTATGCGGGCCAATCAGGGCTGCGACTGCAAATGAGTCAGGCGTGTACGGTACCGGATAGCCTCTTGGGCGAAGGGCACTTAGTAGCATATGGCCAATCTGATGCGCGCATCGACCAGCCAGAAAGAGGAATCGCGGTTGGCTCATTGGCGGATCGGTTTGCTCGGATCACCCACATGCATATGAAGTGAGCAGACAAACCGGAGCTGCCGTACCCAACCGTGGCTCAAGGTGGAGCAGAAGCCGCCGGGCACAAGCTGTGCGTGCGACCAATGAACGGTAAGTAACGCGAAACTCGCATACGAAAAGCAAATAGACAACCATTCCCAATCTCTGTACAGTATGAAATGACGCCCTGATTTTTTCAGTAACTGACTCTGATCTTTTAGCAGACTTTGTATCAACATGTCAACAGTCTACGTAAGATGAAACGGCTAATTCCTTCTCTTCAAGCAGCGGACCGACACCGAAGGGGGCGGCGAATACCCTGTGCTTACAATACGCTGCAACATTTCAGTGCGATCACTGGCCACCCAACCCTATGGTACTTGTTATTTCACCCCCAAAGCTCGCGTATCTTTCACAGCAGAAGCTGTACAAAAATACTGTTGAGTTCGCGTAAGCACAGCTCTCCTGGAGTTCATGATATACACACGAAATCGCTGGCAGCGGTAGGAGAGTGTTTAGTTAAACCTTTGGCTCGATTCTTCCAAAACTGTTTTGACGAAATGTACGTGCTCGACATGTGAAAACAGGGGATGGTTACTCCTATTCACAAGAAGATAGTCGTTCCAATCCAACCAACTACCGTCCCCTAATCTTACTACCGCTTTTCTCAAAGGTCATGGAAGCTATTATTTCTGATGCGCTAACGGCCTACTTGGAAGAATTTAACTACCTCGCACTGGAACAGCATGACTTCCAACGAAATTGATTGTGCACTACAAGTCTACTAATAGCATGATCCAGCTGGACCCAAGCACTAGACTCTGGCGCAGGAGTTGACGTAACCTTTCTCAACTTCTCAAAGGCGTTCGACCGGTTAGACCATAACATTCTTCTCTTCAAACTCCATACCTTTGGTATTGATGATCCTCTCCTAGGATGGATCAGAAGCTTTCTTCTACACCGGCACCTGGAAGTACGTGTGCGTGAATCGCTGTCAGATCCCATCCAAGTTGA